AGAAATTCTTAATGATATATTCTTCCAATAAAAAAAAAAAAGGGAAATAAATCTTGAATTTTTTTCTTTGATTGCATTAATAGAAACTGCTTTAAAAATAACGGAAGGCAACAGCAACAACTAACTCAAGTTTTTTCCACGGTTTACATTCAATTGTAATCCTATAAACACTGTTTACACAAATTTTCAGTGTTCGTGTTGAGGTGGCAAATCGTGCACCATCCATTTTAAAAACAATTGGTTCATTGCTTTCAACATCCCTGAATAAAATAATCAAAAGAAAAAAGAAACAGATGATTTATAGCAGATGAGAAGATAATAAAGCAAGAAAAAAACCAAAAAAACGCATAAATCATATTTCTGTACGTTAATAAAATTAAAAAAACTGTAGAATTTTTTTGGCCGTCACTGTTGTTATCATCAGTTCAGGTGCTACAGTTGTGGCGATGCCACTCACCTTTCATCAGTGCAACCTCTTCTCCTAAACTTTTCACTCATTTCTTCTGAACTTCAAATTTATTGCAAACAAAAACAATTTTTTTTAGAACAAATAATGCACAAATATAAAGTTAAATTTTGAAAAAATCAAAAATATATAACATTCTCATGTTTGTTTCTTTTCTCTACTGTCCATTTTTCCTATAACCCACTTTGCTCTTAGTGTTTGCACCTTTCAGAATCAAACAAGCTTTTATTTTACTTTTTTTTTCTGCATGTTAATGACTGTTGCAAAGTAAAACCGGCAACTCTGAGCAGCAGACAATTATTTCTGCCGTTTTTCTCAACCACACTTTTTTTTTCACCAAACCAAAGAGTTCGACTTCCAAAAAAATATTTTTTTTTTACCTCTGCTTTATTCTTATTCCTTTTATGCTTTGTGAACCGGATAAATGACAAAGGCAAAAAAAGCTCTTCAACTAACCCATCAAAAAAGAGTGCAAAAAAAAATACACCAGCAGCAACAATAAAAAAAAAAAAAAAAAGAGAATATGATAATATAAAATTAACACAATTACTTACTTAAAGGAAATAAAGAGTTGAAAACTTGAAGGATCCATATATATGTTTATATGTAAATATGTATGTAAATATAGTCAAGAATGATTGGAATAACAGAATGCAGTAATGAGATAAAAGCTGTAGTCAGACATCATCAGAATCAACGTCGTCATCATCACGATTAGGTTCTGATAGGTGCAGAAACTCTTCAGAAATCATTCATTCATTGATCGCCACCTTTCAGTTGCATTTGACACCCCGCTGTGGTGCCCAAAGCAGTTGAAGTCAACAAAAAAAATATATATATTAGAATTGAAAAAAGCTTCGCATTTCCATCAAATATCCCCCCTTTTCCCCCAAGATTATTTGTTTCGCATCCTGCAGCTTTTTGCATTTTTGTTCCAAATTTCATCCCTTTCCCAAAAATTTGACTAATTTTTTCCTCTTCTTAAAAGCATCTTTTTCCTCTTTTTTTTTGTTTCTTATTCTATTCACTCTCTTTTCTCCTAAAAAAAATTGAAGAAAAAAATAAAGAGGAAGATAGAAGTACTCTTTTTAGGTCATTGTGTTTTTTCATTACAAAATTAAACAACCTTATTTTTTTGTATTACCCCTTCTTTCCTCATTTATCTTCTGCTACAATTTTTTCTTTTTTGTTTTGGTTTTCAAAAGATTATCAGAGTAATAGGGACGTGTCGATTTGTAACTATTACAACTCGACTATATCCGGCCTAGCAATATCAAGTGAAAAAAAAATTGACAACATGATTTATAAATGCAACACACAGAATTACTTAAAGCTGTACCATAAGCAAAGGTTAATCATATAAATCGTTTGATTAATTAATTGTAAAATATTCAGAAAATTTGTACTTCAGTTGAGTCGCAAAATAAACGAACAAAAACAAATTGAAAAGTTTTAGTATAGTGATAAAACGTTTAATACACTCTATTAAATGGCAACAATAATAACAATAGTTATACGTGAATCAGTAACAACAGCAACAACATACCAACTGTCATTATTCATTTCACTTCTAGTCTTTGACTTCGTTAAGCTGTTCTCAAATAGAGAAGGGAACAAACTGGACGACACTTTTCTTTTCTTTCATGATTTTTGCCTTACTTCAATTCGAAAAAGAAGAGAGAAAAATTAGTTATAGTCATTGTCCAGGAAGTTTTTGTTCAAACTGAATGTACCAGCTTCTTATTCACCGTTATTATCGCGGATACTTCTTGAGCCGATGCTAATCGCAAGCTGGACGACTTTTTGCAGCAACAGCCACAGCGTCGTAGACACACGTAGCAGACACTTGCTTCTGTTGCAGTTGCCGTTGCTGTTGCTGCTGCCGTTGTTGTGGCTACTCACTCTAACAGTAGCTAATCGAAAGGCCCAACTATAACGTTCCTATCACACAAACAAATAAAC